TGTTAAAAATTTCCAAAGGGGTCGGCAGCTGTCAAAGTGACAATTGTTCATTACTCATCCCCCCCCCCAAACCCGTTTAAAACAATGGGGTGGATGCTGCTTCCCCTCCATTTTTATCTTTTTTATTTTTTCCCACTCTTTTATATCTTTTAAAACTGTCTCTTTTTTATTGTCTGTTTTCTCTGTCTCAAAGGTACACATAAATGCAAGAAAACATAGAAAAAATTACCTAGGATAACCCCAAGAAATCCAGACAAAAATGGGTGTTTCCCGCTTGAAGGGGGTGGGGTAAAAGTGATGATGCGTTTTGTGGGCTCTTGAGGGCAAGAGCTAGACGAAAAGAAGATAGACAGGGGGCTTGAAAACAGGGCAAATAGACAGAAATGGAGGGTTTCCAGCAAAAAAAAAAGGGAGAGCGATGTTCAAACTAATCTTTTGGTTTTTCAGTCACCCCATTTACCCTCATCAAAAAATAGCACTTATTTAGATGTTTTCTCCCCTTAAACTTGTTTACTGTCATGGGGGTGAACATTTATTTTTTTTACATTTTATTATTTTTTTTTCGTTTAAAATTTTTTTTTTTATTATGTATTATTATTATGTATTAAATTTTTGTATTTTTATTATTTTGTATTATTTTTTTTATTTTCGTATTCTTCTTCCTCCTTCCCCCTTCCCCCCTACCCCCTTTTTTCCCCCCTTTTTCTTTCCCCCCCCCCTCCTCTTCTTCCTCCTCCTCTCCCTTTTTCTTCCTTTCCCCCTCCCCTCCTTTCCATTCTTTTGGAAAAAAGTTTTTAAGAGCTTGTAGTTCATTTAAACACTATCAATATCATCAAAAAATGCTCAATCTGGGGTTTTGGGATTTGGGAAAAAAAGGAGTTTTCCCCTTTTTATTCCCGGTACAATGAACGGAAACAAAAATGGGGCCCAGCCCGGGTGGAAAGGGGTGTGGGGTTTTCCAGGGTTTTCCCCACTATTTCCCTTTTTTTGGTCCATTAGTTTCAGTAAAACCCCCACCAGAATTTGAAAATCATCTTTTTACTGGGCAAATTCCCTCTGTATTGAAACTGTCACTGGGGGAAAAAAAGTGTCCCCCTTTTGCCCAGGGAAATGAGGAACTTCTTACCGCAGGCCCTTTGGGGGACATTGGTTTCTATGATTTGGGACCCCCACAATTTTCCAAACCCCCCTGGTCCCGATTTTTTCCTACTGCGACACAACCACACAGGAAACCCCTTCTCTCCATCTAGGCCTATTTAGCCTTTTTCCCGCAAAATTTGGGAAATGCTAGAATTTTTTGCGTTTGTACGTCAAAAAACCCCCCACGCGTAAAACGTCGGGACGGCGGGGGGAACCCTCAAAGGGGTTTTAAAAAAGGTTCAAACCGGGGTGAGACAATTTTTCCTTTTACAGGGGGGTTTTTGAGGTTTCCCGGATAACCTATGGGGAAAGGAGGGGGCCAAAAAAAACCTGGGTGTAATTTTTTTCAGGGGGGTATGGGGCCCTAGAGGTACAAAAGGGTGAACGGAGATGACAGAGCCCTCTAGTGAAAGTAATTTTGGGGAATTTTTTGGGAATGGAAAATTTTAAAACCCCTTGTGTGGTGGCCCAAATTTGGAAAAAAAGTGGGGCCCCCCATGATGAGGAAAATGCAATGGAGGTGAACCCGTCAAACGCCCGCCCCAGGCAAAAGCAAAATCAAACAACATAGAGTTTAAGACCCAAATTATCTGTGATTTGCCTTCCATTCTATAAAATGAGCCCAAAGAAAATAAAATACAACAATAAATCCCCTAGAAAATACAGGCAAAGTCCCTGTTTTATTCCAAAAAAACAAAGCTTTTTTTTCTCATTATGCACTGTGTGCTGCAGGATTTATTTTATACCATGCACACTGACACATAGACCCATTCTTTCATATGGAGGCCTACCAGCCTTTTCCCGCGAGATTTGACGGCGCTAGAATTTATGCGTACTAGTACGTCAAAAACCCCTGCGGGTAAGATGTACTAGTACATCCGAAACCCTCAAAGGGTTAATACACACAAACTGAAGAGATGTACAATTACAGGAGGAGGAGAGTGTGGATGATCTAAGTGTTTAGAAGGGGAATCCCCTTCCATTAGGACTTGAGCTAGCACGTCCTTTTCTGGGGTTACTTCCCTTCTTCTTTTAATGCCACTAGGACCAGCTTGAGAGTCAATGGACCTCTGTCGCACAACATATCTGTCCATAGAGGCCTGTACCTCCCGTTCCTTTATGACTTTTCTAAAGTAGTTCACAACATTCAGTGTAATAGTCACCAACACGGCTTGCAATAGCTGTACCAGGGTGATTTTCATCAAAAAAAGGTTTGCACTTTAAGCCACATTGCACACATTTCCTTAATCTTTGATGTAGGCAACTTTTTCAATTTCTCTATCCCCTCCTAAGCAGTTTCCTGAGGTGTGGCCTCTTGCTGTTGAAGATGATCTAGCAGCTCATCAGTGGTTAGTTCTTCATTGTCCTCCTCTACCAACTCTTCCACATCCTCCCCACTAACCTCACCAATATGAGCACTAGTTCCAGGTATTTTTTTCTGTTCACCTGGGTGTTAGTCAACTGTTGTGGGTCGCATCCTGGGGGACAAGATTAAGGACCCCAATGGAAATAAGTTAGACAGTCCTCGATGATGCACTAACTTTCTTGGGTAATCCTGGGTGGCTAACCCTCTGGGGTTAATCGTTTCTCGGAAATTGTTTCACATCTTCGAGTAATAGGAGGCCTGGTCACAGACTGGGCCGCGGGGGCGTTGACCCCCGGAACTCTCTCCAGGTAAACTCCAGGTAATACAGCTGATGGTGGTGCAGCAACAGCCGACTGTGGTGCAGCAGCAGCTGTGGTGCAGCAACAGCTGACCGAGGTGCAGCAGCAGCTCACTGTGGTGCAGCAGCAGCTGTGGTGCAGCAACAGCTGTGGTGCAGCAACAGCTGTGGTGCAGCAACAGCTGACTGATCCAGCAACAGCTGCCTGGTCCAGCAACAGCTGACTGATCCAGCAACAGCTGCATGGTCCAGAAAAACAGCTGCCTGGTCCGGGCAACAGCTGACTGACCCAGCAACAACTGACTGGTCCAGCAACAGTGACTGGTCCAGCAACAGCTGACCAAGTTTTCAGCAGCAGGGGACTGGGGGTGCAGCAACAGCTGGACTGACCCAGCAAAGCTGGATGGTCCAGCAACGCTGACTGGTCCAGCAACAGCTGACTGAGGTTGCAGCAGCAGTGCTGTGGTGCAGCAGCAGCTGACTATGGTACGATAGTTTTCTCACCCTTTTTACCATATGGTTGGCATAGAAGCTTTCTTGGGCCCATGGTCACTTATTTTGCAGGTGAATCCTAAACACGCTGTGATAATATGAAATGTTCCAATTGTATGCTTGGATGTAAACGCGGTGGTGGCTTTTTAAACACTGCAACCCACGGAACAAGTGAGGCTGGTTTCAGGCCACACGTGAAACTTTCTCGAACGAATCGCGTTGAGCGAGTTTTTCAGCACTAGGCAAGGCAAAATTTTTGAGTTAAAATGTAATGCTAGGCGGATTTAACGTTATGCGATGCGTTCGTTAGGCAAGGGTCCACTGTAATTGTATCTCATAAAATTGTATCTCGTAATGTATCTCATTTTTGTATCTCAAAAATGTCAACCTGTGACCCAATCAAATTTGTTACTATTTAACTTCATTAAACTAACGAATACTCCATTCTACTGATTACACAGCCACACAGTAAATGACCATATGACCTGTCTTTGTAATACTCATTTGCACTAAATTGTTATCTGTTTTACAATAACTTTTGTACCACTGAATATATCATTGCTTAGTTCATCTTAAGTTAATTTTAAGCCTCCTCATAATGCTCTGCATACAAGGGGCTTTGGCATGCTGCACTTTAAAAATTGTATTCCTTGTACTTCTCTGTATCATGTTAAAATTAATAAATAAATAAATAAATACAATTACAGTGGACCCCCGCATAACGATTACCTCCGAATGCGACCAATTATGTAAGTGTATTTATGTAAGTGCGTTTGCACGTGTATGTTTGGGGGTCTGAAATGGACTAATCTACTTCACAATATTTCTTAAGGGAAAAAATTCGGTCAGTACTGGCACCTGAACATACTTCTGGAGTGAAAAAATATTGTTAACCGGGGGTCCACTGTATTTAATTCCCAAAGCCCAAGGGCAGTAACATTGACAGCCTCATAGAATGAACATCGAAATGGTATAAAATACTGACAGGTTGTTAGGTAAGACACATATGCAACAGTTAGATATCTTTATTTCGAAACGTTTCGCCTACACAGTAGGCTTCTTCAGTCGAGTACAGAAAAGCTGATAGAAGCAGAAGAGACTTGAAGACAATGTAATCAGTCCATCACCCTTAAAGTTTAGAGGTGGTCAGTCCCTCAGTCTGGAGAAGAGTATTGTTCCATAGTCTGAAACAATATGGAGTTGAAGTGACAGCATGGAGCCTTATATACCGCCATGAAGTGAAATGAAGGCCACTAGTAGAGCTAAGAACGTGGTCATTGGGAGTTCACATCCCTCTCAAGTCCAGCCATTTTGATATTCACTCTGTCAGACACTGCAACACAAGGGTATATTGGTACAGAACAACAACTTGGACAACTTCAACTAGTGAGAATGGCTGGATTTGAGAGGGACGTGACCTCCCACGATCTTTCTTACCTCTACTAGTGGCCTTCATCCCCCTCCGGGTTTGGTAATAAGGCTCCTACAGTCACTTCAACTCCATATTGTTTCAGACTATGGAACAATACTCTTCTCCAGACTGAGGGATTGACCACCTCAAAACTTTAAGGGTGATGGACTGATTACAACGTCTTCAAGTCTCATCTGCTTCTATCAACTTTTCTGTACTCGACTGAAGAAGCCTACTGTGTAGGCGAAACGTTTTGAAATAAAGATACCTAACTGTTGCATATGTGTCTTACCTATCGGCTCCATATAATGTTCTAGAGGCAGATGCAGGACACTGAGCTGTCGTAAGTAGCTTAGTATTTATTTTTTTTATTAACACACTGGCCGATTCCCACCAAGGCAGGGTGGCCAGAAAAAGAAAAACTTTCACCATCATTCACTCCATCACTATCTTGCCAGAAGGGTGCTTTACACTACAGTTTTTAAACTGCAACATTAACACCCCTCCTTCAGAGTGCAGGCACTGTACTTTCCATTTCCAGGACTCAAGTCCTGGAGATGGGAAGTACTGTTCATTTATTGGCTTGTCTTAAAGCTACCAACCCCTTGCAGAATATTTCACTAGTGTTGTTCACTGAATATTTCACTACTGTTATTCTTCGAATATTTCACTTCAGAATTCTTGATTACTGCAGTAAGCAGATTACAGTCTTGACCTTACAGTATTTTCCATATATATTGTTTATGCTCTATATTACCTCTTGTGAATACATAAGTCTGCTCTTTTTATAAAATATATAAGATATTCTGAACATTAATACAACTTATCTCCTCTATGAATTTATAAGATTTATATGACTGACATTTCATTAACATATTTCACTCTCAACACTGTTAGGGTATATCCATTTTATATATTCTGATGAGTTTATAACTAAAATATTTTTGAAGCATTAAACACTAATGTGTTTTATCTCCTGAATGTACTCGTGTATGTTTCACAAGACTGCTTTTTTTACTAAAACATTTCAGACACTCAGAACATTGATATGGTTTATCTCTTGTATGTACTCTTGTATGTGTCACAAGACTGCTTTTCTCACTAAAACATTTCAGACACTCAGAACATTGATATGGCTTATCTCCTGTATGTACTCTCATATGTTTCACAAAATATCTTTTTATACTAAAACATTTCAGACACTCTGAACATTGATATGGTTTATCTCCTGTATGTACTCTCATATGTGACACAAGACTGCTTTTTATACTAAAACATTTCAGACACTAAACATTGTTATGGTTTATCTCCTGTATGTACTCTCATATGTGTCACAAGACTGCTTTTTATACTAAAACATTTCAGACACTCTGAACACTGATATGGTTTATCTCCTGTATGTCCTCTCATATGTAACACAAGACTGCGTTTTATACTAAAACATTTCAGACACTCTGAACATTGATATGGTTTATCTCCTGTATGTACTCTCGTATGTTTCACAAGATAACTTTTTTCACTAAAACATTTCAGACACTCAGAACATTGATATGGTTTTTCTCCTGTATGTACTCTCATATGTGACACAAGACTGCTTTTTATACTAAAACATTTCAGACACTCTAAACATTGATATGGTTTATCTCCTGTATGTACTCTCATATGTTTCTCAAGATTGCCTTTTACACTAAAGCATTTCAGACACTCTGAACATTGATATGGTTTATCTCCTGTATGTACTCTCATATGTGTCACAAGACTGCCTTTTTGACTAAAACATTTCAGACACTTAGAACATTGATATGGCTTGTCTCCTGAATGTAGTTTCATATGTGTCACAAGATTTCTTTTTATACTAAAACATTTCAGACACTCAGTACATTGATATGGTTTATCTCCTGTATGTACTCTCATATGTGACACAAGAGTACTTTTTATACTAAAACATTTCAGACACTCAGAACACTGATATGGTTTATCTCCTGTATGTACTCTCATATGTTTGACAAGATATCTTTTTACACTAAAACATTTCAGACACTCTGAACATTGATATGGTTTATCTCCTGTATGTACTCCCATATGTGACACAAGACTGCTTTTTATACTAAAACATTTCAGACACTCAGAACATTGATATGGTTTATCTCTTGTATGTACTCTCATATGTGACACAAGACTGCTTTTTACACTAAAACCTTTCAGACACTCTGAACATTGATATGGTTTATCTCCTGTATGTACTCTCATATGTTTTGTAAGATGTTCTTTTCTACTAAACATTTCAGCCCACTTGAACATTGTATGGTTTTGTTCTTTACGTTTTTCCATATTTTTTAAATGAAGGTATTTCATTTAAAATTTTTAGTCATACAACAGGGGTTTACAGTTAATCTTCCTTATGTACTCACGTCTATTTCAAGATTTTTAACTATTTTGGACACTAAACATCTGGTCTTCCTTATGAACATATTCCCATGTTAAGAATTATTTAGGCAAAACTTTTCCTACTTATGAACACTAATAAAGTTTACATTGTTTTAAAAAACTATCATAATTTTTATTTTGTGTTAAAAGATTAATATATGTACTAGAAATTTGCAGATACACTCAACATTATTATTATTATTATTATTATTTGCTCTTGTGTTTAAACAGACTTTTCTGAAAATTTTTAATTACGAAATTGCTAACTTGTATTCTTTTTTTAAATAAATTTGAGGGTTCAGCCCCCAAAATCTGAAAATTCCCAACAGGATCTAAAAAATATTATTTTTTCTTATGAAATTGTAGAGAATCTTTTTCTGAAAGTAATAAAATAAAAAGTACAAAATTTGATAAAGAACTGACAAAGTTGTGCTCCTGCAAATTTTGCTGTGTCAGAGATATTTATGCATTGGCAATTTTGCCCACTTTAAATTTCCTGTTTTTGGCCAATTAAATTATTCCACTAGACCAAATTCTTAGCTATTTTCTAGTATGTGTTCCATTTTATCTACTGAGCACAAAAAATTGCCCAGATCAACTATTTCAACACCCCAAATTTAATTTGATTGGAAATTTGGGTTTAATTTGGCCCATTTCACACAAAGTTCAAAATTTTCCCAATTTCAAAATAGGGTCCAGAAAAATTCTGCAGGCATTCCTGGCACTAAACTAACATTTTTTTATTTATTAGTTCATTCCTAGGCTTTACAGATGAATTTCATTTTGATTTTTTAATAAACACCAAAAATTTAAAAGATTTTTATGCAATATTGTAATATTGTATAAATAATATCAGCGCATTCCCGCAACACACATCAGCCCCACAGCTGAGTGTATTGGACACGTGATGTGATTTGTTTACCCACTACATAGGCAAAAATAGAACATTTCTACTATTCTGAACTCAATTTCAAGCTATTTTCAGTACTAAAATCCTTCAAAATAATTTCTTTAATACATCTTCTATTCTATCAAATGACCCCAAAGAAACAGTGAAGGGCTACTAAAAAAAACATATGAAATACACTGAAAGTTTGCTGTTTTAATCCAAAAACATAGTCACAGATTTTTTTCTCATTATGCACTGTGTGCAGCGGATTTGTTTTACTGGTGCACATTTTACCACATAGATTGCATTCTCTCACATTTAGGCAAAATTTTACTGCTCACGCTTATTGAGTAAGCTGAGCTCATGATGTAGTACTACAGCTTAGACCCTGACTTTAAAGTCGTAGAAACTAGAAAACAGACCCTCAAAGAATTAACTGCCATGCAAAAGCATAATTATTTAATTAGTAATAGTAGTTAAAAATTTACAAAAAAGAACAGATGTTGCCTTTCTTGAAGTACTGAAGATAGTGTCAGGCAAGATACAACCTGGTTTGTCTTCCACAAAAATACTTCTGCAATATCAGTTGGTTTTTCAGACACTTTACACTGGTGTTCTTGAAGTACTGAAAATATAGTGTTGGCAAGGGCACAACCTGGGAGTCTTCACAAAAAACTTCTGCAATATCAGTTGTTGTTCAAGACCTTACACTGGTGCTTCTTGAAGTACTGAAAATATAGTGTCTGGCAAGAACAACCTGGTAGTCTCCACAAAATACTTCTGCATATCAGTTGTTGTTCAAGACACTTACACTTGGTGTTTTTGAAGTACTGAAAATATAGTGTCTGGCAAGACACAACCTGGTAGTCTTCCACAAAATACTTCTGCAATATCAGTTGTTGTTCAAGACACTTACACTGGTGCTTCTTGAAGTACTGAAAATATAGTGTCTGGCAAGACACAACCTGGTAGTCTTCCACAAAATACTTCTGCAATAGAAACATGAGTCAGTATAGCATAATATACTACAATTAATAGCACAACATACTCAACTAAAAAAAGATTTTTTTCTCTCTATTATCACATGGTTTCACTAAAAATTGTCACTTAACCATTAAACTGACCAAATGTAGGTCTATGTTTGCATGCGTAATGCTCTGAATGTAGATCTATATTTTATTTTTAATTCCTTTAAATTTGGTGTAATATGCTCAAGTTGCCTTGATATGAAAGAATGGGTCTGTGCACTCAGTGTGCACAGTATTAAAAAATCTGGGATCACTTAGTACCTTGTGGGAACACAATTGCAACTGAGAACCAGCTAGAGCAAACAGCGTGGCAAACACCAGGGATTCACTGATGTCATGTCACATTAACACTCCCCTTTTAAGAGGACAGCTGGCTTTGCTGTCTCTCTGTCTATATTTCTGTCTATATATCTGTCTATATCTATCTCTGTCTCTCTCTCACATGTACACATAAGTACAGTTATTATACATAGTGAAAATTAACTAGGATAACCCAAAAATTCCAGGCAAAGATAGACAGATAGAAAGACAGACAGATAGACAGGCAGACAAAGATGGTTATGCATTTCAGTGAAAGCAAATAAAGCCAGGGTTCCCCTAGTGCCCATTTATCAAATGTCACTGAGCTATCAACAGTTGTCATAGCATAATTCTTCAAGGAGTTTGATATGTACTCCAGGCACACACTGGCAGACAGAAAGACAGATAAGCAGAGCTAGACAGATAAGCAGAGACAGACTGGCAGACAGACAGACAGACAAAACATGTTTGTGTGTAACAGTGATAACAAATACAGGTGGGTTAGCTGGAGCAGTTCACACTTATCAAATGTCACTAGGCTGTCAACAGTATACAGATGCCTTTCATAACACCATACTTTAACCCTTTGACTGTTTTGGTCGTATATATACATCTTATGCGCCACTGTTTCTGACATATTATATGCATAAATTCTAGCGGCTTCAATTATTATTATTATAATGAAAAAGAAGCGCTAACCCACAAGGGCTATACAGCACTGCAGGGCAGGGAAGGAAGCAAGGGTATTGGGCGGCAGAAGGGGGGAGGGATGATCAGTAGGTTACAGAAAACAGCGGGGCAGGGGATAGTGCGGGGGTAGAGGGTAGCAAGAGATTCAGGTAGAAAGTCCTGAAGGTGTCAGAGTTTGTGAAGTAAGTCAGTTGCTGTCAAAAAAGTCAATGAGAGAGTCCGGATGAAAGGTGGGTCCATCAGCGAGAAGGGAAGGTAAAGAGAGAGCAGCGGAGCGAAGACGACGACAGAGGTAAATTCTGTGTGCTCGTTGATAAAGTGGGCAGTCTAACAGAATGTGGCTGACCAATAATGGAATCCGACAATTCTCACAGAGAGGAGCAGGGTGCCTCTCCATGAGATATCCATGAGTAAGACAAGTATGACCAATGCAAAGACGGGAGAGAGTAGTCTCCCAACCTCGACACTGGTGACAAGAAGATGGCCAGTAACCTATACTCGGTTTAATAGATTGAAGTTTGATACTGGGCAGAATAGACCAACATTGTTGCCAACGGGTGTGAAGGTGGGTAGCTATTGCAGCAAAATAGTCTGTAAATGGAATACCTCTATATGAAACTGGTAGGTCATGTACTGCTGACCGCGCAGCAGTGTCTGCCTGTTCATTGCTCTGTACGTCAACATGACCAGGAACCTAACAAAAAACAATATCTTTATGCTTGGTAAAGATGCGGTGTAGCCAAAGTTAGATACGGAGGACTAAGGGGTGAGGAGTATCAAATTTCTGTATAGCCTGTAAAGCATTAAGTGAGTCTGAGACAAAAAACAAATGATGACACAGGCATAGATGCAATACGGATAAGTGCTGCAAGAATAGCATACAATTCAGCAGTAAAAATACTAGCCTAAGATAGTAAATGCCCTCGTACGACACTGTCCGGAAACATTGCTACAAATCCTACGCCATAAGAAGACTTAGAGCCATCTGTGTACACTGCAATGGCATGAGAATGAGAGTGGAAGTGGTCAAGAAAAAGAGAGCGGGAAGCTACCATAGACAGTTGGGCTTTCGAGCAAGGGAGAGAGAAAGAAGACACTCGAACAGCTGGAACTTCCCAGGGGGGTAGGGAAAAGTGAGATTCTACATGAACATAGAAAGGGGGTATGTAATTGAAGAGAAGACAAGAGCGAATGTAGGCGAAGAGAGAAGGGATGGAGTAAACAGGGGCGGTGAACAAATAAAGAATGTCTACTAATATCAGTGACCATTCTATAAATCGAAGGATTGCGGAGATCACGAGAGTGTACATAGTAGGAAAGGCAATGGGCATCACGGCGATCAGATAAGGATAGAACGTTCGCTTCTGCATAGAGGCTCTCAACAGGGGAAGAGCAAAAAACACCAAGGCATAAACGTAATCCTTGGTGATGAATGAGGTTAAGGCTAGAGTAGCACGAGAGGCCGCTGAATAGATCTGGTCACCATAATCAAGTTTCAATAAAATGTGGGTGGAATGAAGTTGAAGGAGAGTTCGACGATCAGATCCCTATGAAAGATGAGCAAGGGCTTTAACCCTTTGAGGGTCGACAGGCCCTCTCAGAAACTTGTTCTCAGGGTCGGCCAAATTTCAAAAAAAAAAAAATTATTTTTTCTTATGAAAAAATAGAGTTTTTTTTCTAAACATTATAGGATAAACAAAAAAATTTACCATCAATACTTACGGAGATATGGAGGTTTGTTGTTTTTTTCACTATTTTATTTTTCACATAACTTATGTGGCCTATGAGACCAAAGTAAGGGGCAATGTACATATATACACTCGTTGTATACAACACAATTAAACACCAAACATAATTATCAATATATTGTTTTCAAACTTGTTTACAAAAAAACAATACGAAAACATTGTTTATTACTATTGTTCTCTAATATATATACCAATATACAG